AAATGTCCTCCCCCCCCCCGTCGTCGAACTGCGCCGGTCTTTTAAGACCTTTCCAAACCATAGATAACGGGAGTTCATAGAGCTTAAATGGCAGCCTATGGACAAGGCCAGATATAGCATGGAAAACAGAGTATTTTCAAAACTGGAGAGAAACTGGAAAAACACCATAAAACTGTTTCAATCAACTGGTCAAGGGAAGAAAAAGACTCACTGTTGATATTGATCACGGTCGAATACATCTCTCCTTCAGAATCAATAGCAACCACAACTGGAGGTTCATCTGATTCCACAACGCAATCGAAAGAAACTGAAAAAGCATTTCAAAAAAATAATAAGGAGGTTGACAGAAAGCATACCCAAGAAGCTATTCGAAATGGTAAAAAAATTCAAAGAAAATTACATTCGATGGATAGGCGGGAGGTGGGCAGGGAGGTGGGGAGGGGATGGAACAAGTAGCTTTTATGAAATTCGCTAGACTTTGCAAGAAAAGCTTGGATTTACCAAGTGTTAAGTTTTGGCATCTTCGACTTTATTAGAAAATTAGAAATAGGTTAGTATTGGGCTGGCATGCGTAGTAGGAATCCAGACACCACAGTGAGTCGCAACCATGCCAATCGGTCACCAGGCGCCGAACCCCCACTCAAGGTATACTCGAAATCCCTGAGATCGGGTAGGCGTGGCTGCGTGCTTCAACTGAACCTGAAGGTGGCTGTGCTTCTGGTGAGATATTTTCATCTTGACACAATTGTTGTCGTGTCTCTGTCCAACACAGAACAAGATGACAGTTGTCCCAGACTGGAATATTCCACGAGTAACCAATTCCGTGCCATGTTCAAATGCCACGCCTACTCTGGCTCAGGGATAAGGAGTGTACCACAAGGGTAGGGTACGTAATAGGGGTATGGGTATTGTGGATTCTTTCTGCTTGACACGTTTCAAAGTAGATTTTAGCGTTTCCCACTCAGTCAGATTAGTTCCAACCCATACCCTCTTAGTGTAAGTTCATGGTGAAAAAAAAGGGGCGACGGGGCGGATTTGTATTGGTCTGGTGCTGGGTGACGGCGGATTCGACAAAAATCAGCTACTGGAGATCGGCAGCCAGCTAGAAACGCTCGTCTACGTCCGAGCAGTGAGGTAGCCGCTTATGTTAGGCTTCCCTGAATAGCGGCCGGTAGTAACGTGAAAAACACCCCTCTTTACATACTGAAGCAAGGGCAAAACAGACATCCAGACATACGAGGGGTTATTTAATAATTAAGCAGCTGCAAACTAACTATTGATTGGGAGAAACCATAGCAGTTCGACCATAACCGTCACCTGGTGACGATCACTGCCCACACGATGTGACGAGCGCATAATCTATTGTCATGAATGGTACATCACATATGTTATCAGCTTGGTATATTCTAAAAGCGAAGCTGTTAAGTTACGCATAAAATGGCGCGCAATGTCACCATCAAGACCCCAAGCCTTTTGTGTCAAAACCTGATTTTTGGACATTTATTGGCAAACTGATTGACGTACCATAGAAAATAGATTGTGCCGCTTAAGAAATTGCTTGACTAGCAAAGTTGACTCGATGCCCTATCACGGAGGTGATATCCGTTCCTGGCGTCACCACCACCTTTTTTCACAAACTTGCCTATTACGTGCTGAATACGAACATGCCCTCGCTGTTTGGCAGGTGAGGAGAGCACTCTCCTTCGGTGCTCGGCGTCCTGGACGCGTCCTCACCTAATCCATCTTCAAATGCAAAATAGTAACGAGTTTTCTAGGAAAAGTCGCGGAGTCAAATCCGTGCCGGCGGCAAAAGTAGATGAATAAAATAACCCTAATATGTAGGCCTGCGTCGATTTCAGTGAAAAGGGTGGCGCCAAATGGTGCAGTTGTGAAAGGGATGGCACTATCCCTGATAACCTCTGTATTGGACATTTCAGCGGAAAATTCCGAGATTTCGAGGTGGTAATAATTGAATAGTGCCAATTTTTGCGGTAAAAAAAAAGAAATATAGAAACCAGTAGATCATTTGAGAATTACCTTATACGATTATCATCAAAAAGAACTGCTAGCAAGTGTAACGAGGAGTTCATCGAATCCGTAAGAATCCACCGAAGTTGAAGCACTCTGGGAGGTCTGGGTGAATCAAAAAGGGTGGCATGCACTTCTTGAACTCTGCAAATGCTAGATTATGGGTTGGACGACAAAAGAATCGAAAGCGGATTGGGCGAAGTTCGACTTGGAGGGTGCATTCTGCAACGTAAATTCCTTCAGTAAGCTCATGTTCAATAACAGGTCACTCTCCGGCAAGGCCTGTAAACACTTGTGAAGCTTCGAAACGATGTGAGTGAGCCATGTGAGACGTAGGAATTGACATTTTTCTGGAGATACCCTGTACAAGCTTAGCTGTGTACCAAACGGTGCCCCCACCAAGTCGAACTGCGCAGAAAATCGTGTGAAACAAAATACTCACTCGCAAATGTACTGATTATGCGGAACGTTGCCATCTGCTCTTGAGACCCATAAATCTGCAGATACTCGCACTATGAAAAGGGAATTTGCGGACGAGAGTACTACCAAGGAGCCATCTCGCATGACTGACATAGAAGTTATCTCCACTTCATCAGGTAGGCGTGGCGAGAGAAGAACTTTCTGAAAGAGAACGTAGTCTTGACCAATATTCTACAGGCAAACTGGGTTTCTGTAGAAAACACATTTCACGCTTGCAGCTCTTCAGTACTGGGGTCTACATGTAACTTCTTCGACGTTAGTTGACGCGCCTGTGGGGAAAAGGCATAGAAATTCGACGCAAACACCTTAAATAAGACTCTCTTTTGGGTATGCGAAGATGCGCAACTTGAAGGGACACTGGACGCACAGCCGAGAGTCGAGACAATGGACAAAGGTGCGAAAATGGCGCAGCAGTAAATGGGTAGGCGGGCGCTTATTGCGGTGGGCGGAGACTTACGCAAGTCACGTAAGCCGCAGACTTCTGGCTACATTGCCACACGCTTCCCGACTGCAAACGTGCTACGCCCACTGCAGCTGAGAAACTTCACGCCTTTCACATATAAAATTGCACCTGTTAAATGATTGCAATGTGTCTTTAGATCTCGCCCGAAAATGGTCCAAATTCTCCGTCAAAGAGCTTCAACTAGGATGTCAAAACCGTACTGTTTATTTGTATTTTGACGGAAGTGAGCCTTCATATAAGCGCAAGGCTGCCCCCTTTTCCGAGGCGTGTTGGTCAGTGCAGCGCTGAATTTTTAGGGACTGCCATATAGAACTGGTTTCCCATACGCGATCAACTTATTGTGAACGGCGAAGAAGGAACGTTCGCTCACCACTGATCGTGTGTACTCAGCCAATCCGTTGTTATTTACCAATCCATATACGAACGTCATCGAACCATCACAAAAAATGACGAGATTTTTGTAACGAAACGAGGAGATGAGATATGGCTTGCCATGGACAGATTTCCGCAACTCACTGAGACTTGTCCTCATTCTGAAGTTGAATCTAAAACAGCAAAACGACATCACACACAACGACATATTTGCCTTTCCCCGCAGTGGACCAGTGATAGGTCATCAAAAAACATGGGAGGTAAGGTATTGGGGTCAGGAAGACCATTCCACAATACTCCTGTGTCTCTTCTCCCAGCCAAGGCTTAGGCTTGGAGAGCGAGCAGTAAGAGCTGCGTAGAGATTTTGTGCTCCACTCTATTCTGACTGCCTGTGCTCCAAGCCTAAGCCTTGGCTCTGGGAAGCTATGTAGAGGCGCCGAGAAGTGCCCCCATGATGCTTTATCTTCAGCGGATTCCAATCTCGTCAAAATTGTTACCCTTCATTATTCCCAGCGCTGCTCAGCACATTCAAGCATTTACCAAGTTTCATTCGCCATGTATTTCCTTGGAAACAGAGAAGGGTGCATTTTGAATAAGGATTTCTGTCTAACAATAATTCTAGGGGAGGGTCCTTGGCAAGCAACAGGATGAGAACATTCTTACCGTGGCAGAGAGAGTGTCCAGCTCGACACTTTGGCTGCACTGCTTCAAAAAGCTCGAGATTCCCGGAAACAACACCATTTCACCGCGATCGTCGAGTCTGCGATTTTGTGTGCAGTACATGTTAAACTGTGTAAATGTCGACGTCGAACCTTCTGTTATGGCAATCAGGGGACCAGATGCTTTCAGCAGCATTAGCTTACTTGGGAGATGACCATCGTGCCATAGTTTTTTTGGTTCTGAGCCTCTGGCGTCACTATAACGGAAGCCAACAGTAGTTTGACCTAGGACCAAGGATGCCACAATCGCAGCGGCTACTATCACGGAGCAGACAGTCCGTAGGCTTGCGCGACTTTCGACCGTCTGCACTCAGCTTGGAGCCTTGGTTGTTAGGGTCGTGAGGGCCAATGAGATTGTACACTTTGGAGTGTGGCGCCTTTCTCCCTCTTCCTGAAAAAACAGAAGCTGCCATGCAAATGGCTCCACGAACAATGACTTGCACGTTTCCGTGTTGGGACATGTGGAAAGCCACCCCTCCCGAAAAGGGCTTGTTGTAGGAGCAGATGACTCCCCATGGGTCAGACTAAGAACGCACATGCCCTTGAGAGTACAAACAGGATCCCAGCGCTTGCGTGTCAGTTGAGTGTTGGGCCTGTGAGTAGCGACGGGGCGAATGGACCTATTTTCTTCCAGATCCAGGTTCATTGAAAGGCAGACGAGCAAAGTGTCACGCCGTCCCGCCTCGAAAAGCGAAGGAACGAGGATTTTATGGCGTCGCCCACGTGGGCCCCATCAACTACACTAGCGTCGGATCTGCTCCCATTCATGATCACGTCACTTTCCCTGGATTCCTCTCTCCCCGATATTGGACACACCTGAACACGGCAACCTGGACTTCCATTTTACTGTCGACGCAGGAGCCTATTATGCCACTGCCATCACTTACACTTCCATCAAAACAGATTAACAACAAACCGCCACAAACCAGCCTGCGCATTTGGCTTCACCACACCAACCCGCCTTTTACAAGCGATCAGAAAAAGACAAGAAAAAAGGTAAAAAATAGGGACGGCCAGGTTCGGAATGCCGATCATTAAACCGTTTGAAAATTAACTCATCAGTGATAATTCTTCCAAGCTGAAATAACAGCTTTTTAAATGCTTTCTGTTCAAATCATATGTGATGAGGTATTCATTTAACGAGCAACAAAGCACTTATCTTAGCAACCATAACTGGGAAATCATTAACTAATTCCACATCACAACGGCTGCTACAGAACCTATTCACATCAATGTGCTTAACTAACCAAAAATGGTAGCTATTCCTTACGAGCCTATAGTTAAACAATCACAGAATCCTAGGATTACGATCTTAAGCTTAAAAATATCAATATTAACTCTGATTCGAACAATAAAAAGAAACAAAAACAAACTGCATGAAATCAATGATAGATGACTCAAAACGATCACACGGCATGAAACATCCTAATTCCTGTTAGAGTTGAAAGAAACGACCTAGAAGGGAAGCTCCCTGTTAGAGCGAGAAAAAAAACGACTAAGAAAGAAAATTCAACAAAATCAAATTGGAAAATTCTAGATAGAAGAGGAAAAAGGCGGAGAGAAATGCGCTGAACTATAAAATGTTAGAGCATTCAACTTTAATGGTTCTTTTAACGCGTGGCTCCCTTTCTACAGGTTTTCGTAGAAATGGGGATGGTTTTTCCACTGAAGAAGTCGTCATTGCAGGCATCGAAGGGTATAGTTGTAAACGGGACCTTAAAACGGACAAGTTCGACAGCATATGAATAAATCGACAAATTCAGAAGAAAAAGAAGATGCAGAAGTGTTCTTTTCCCCATCAGCATGAACAAACAACTGGAGCAAACAGCAAAACATACCTGTTAAGCTTCATATGGCTTGATACCAACTGATCCGTGACCAAGGCAGCCATTAAGGACAGTTCGCCGGCAAGTACCGTAGAGCATATTACTTCTGCCAGACGCCGAGCATGCGCTCCGGGCTCTGCAGGTGACGGGCCAGCGCATGACAACATCTACAACACTATCACTTTCACAAGAAAACGTTGCCGGAAAAAAACTGAACAGGCACAGATCGGCTTGGTAGGGGCAGTGAACGGTGCTCAGCTAGGCTTATATTAGGTCATCCTCATCCCGGTCATTCAAAAAAGCCGTCGGTTTTTCCGAATAAAACGGAGAGGAGAATAGTAATAAAAAGTAATATTTTGGCTTTAAGTTATGTAAATCCCTCCTTCACCAATGACCCGCTCCCAGTGCCCCGAAAGCCTTTGGACCTCTGGTACCTTCGATTTTTCAACAAGTGCGAGTAAACTGATGTCAATGCGTCGAGGAGCCAGGCAATATACACGAACATCTAGCGCTGTTAGTTTCTACATAGAAGCCGCGTGAAAGCCTCAGCTGAGGAATCCTTGCTGCTTGTGATGATCATCCACTTTTTTGCGCCCACATAACCCCTCGTGGTAGAACTCGGGCGGCTTCTCATCTGCATTCATACAAAATTGACGATTGTGAGTTTCGGCTCGAGGTCCAAGACCACCCATATTTCACCATACTAAAGGCCGGGGTGTGTTTTCGCAGCCGTGAATGAATCTCATGCTGAGAACATTACTGCTAGAGGGACAGAACAGGTACTGCTTTCATGTTTCACAAGAAAATTAGGTACCCATGCGCACACCCTCTTGACCATCCTCAGTTTATCGGACATAACTCGGGCAGCAGTTGCAGCTGGGATGTCAGACTCGCGGGGAAGCTCGAAACAAGGTTCCAGACATTCAGCGCTTGACTTCATCCACTCTTTTTTCTTGTACATGATGAACATTATGGGACGATTCCCGACAACAATTTTTTTCTTTTCTTCCTTCTTCGCGGGCTCCTGAACCAAACCTTCCACCTTTTGCTTCGAGAACACCCTTACACACAACTACTGGTCCGGCGCCGATCGAATTTGAGCAGCGCACTTCCCTCTTATGACGTCTGATTTGAAAATCGGGCGCTGTTTATTTACCCCTTGAGCTTCTTTTCAATTTCCGAAACCTTCTTCGTGGGTAATCCGCCAAATTCCAAGAATACAAGCTAAAGTACCAGCCTCCCGAGCGGTTTATAGTGAGCCCGCTTCCCTATCCCCTTTGCCTTTTTCTTGCATCCTTTATATGTCACGGCAATTTTGAATGGGATGACCTAATATGCGCCTGGAGAAGACTTGTAAATTTCTGTGACCAAGGTGGATCGCTTCGAATAATTTTCAGGAGTTTGCAGGTTCGACCAATGTGAGACCTGCTCAGGGTGCAGCATCGTGATGTGTGCGGTGATGGTTGTGTAGCACACTTCCCCCCCCCCCCCCCCGAGGAAGGTGCTCACAAGGAACTCCCAACACCTTAACATGTGGGTCCCGGGGGCGGGGGCGGGGGGAATAGTGCACACCGAAAAAGGAAAAATCACAGAAAAACCCCCAACCACCCGGAAAAACCACGGAACTCAAATTCCTCTCAAAGGCATATACGACCCCCCCCCTCGTCTCCCAAAGACCGGATACGATCTACCCTCCCAGAGAAAAAGTACGACCCTCCCCCTATGTTTCACATAATGATGCTGTACCCTAGACCTGCTATCTGACATAAATGGACAAGAAGAACTAGCGGAAGTGCAAAACGCCCCCTCCAAGCCGAAGAGCGCCTTTAATGATTAACCACTGTACCTGAAGGCACTCGTTTTGAGGCCGCAAAATTGTTCCACCTCCCACAGTGCCAACTTCAACACATGGCATGGTGCAACTGACGTACAATCCCAATCATCGTCTGCTCACATTCCATCCGTGTTGAGCACATCGATGACGATACAACCTGGGCAGCATCCTGCAAAATCGATCTCTATAGCTGACGTATCCCGACGGCTGTGCTAGTAGTATAACAAAGATTGCTTAAAACCCTGCCGAAAAAAAAAAAACTGAAAAATGACCTGTCCTGTTGCCAAAAATATTGCCGCGACCACATTAGCGGCATGAGCATTGTTGCCGCCAATACACACAGCTCTATCAGAACCCGACTGCAGCTTGGACTGAAAATAGAAAAATAAGCGATTTCGCCCCTAGCTGAACGCAGCTAATCAAAAATAAACCTGTGCAGCGTCTGCCATTTGCTTTGGAGTTGTCTTGAAAATAGACAAAACCACACTAGCTGGCAATATACAGTCTGCCACCACAGATCGTCCTCGACCTTGGATCCTAAATGGGCCGACTAAACTGAGAATAGCAACTGGGTCACAGCTTAGGAGGGCCAGGATTTCAAACTGATGCGCCATCCGTTAGTAACGGTTTTGAATAGGTATCGATAGGAAAAGTCGGCCAAGCGAGTGGCCGAACCCGGGGTCAAAGGGTTCAATGCGTACAGATTCGACTCTGCCCAGGTGGAAATGGGAGAGCAGAGGAAGCTGGGGTTTTGCTCGTGCACTACACCGGTTGTCCCGGCGATTCTCTTCGGAACCTTTATGTGGATGTGTTTCTTTTGCCGAGTCCTCATGGTCACGGACTGTAAATGGTGCCTAAGGCGCGCGGAGACGCAGCTTCTACGCATCTTTCATCCCTTGACCACATTCTTCACTGACCCTTGGAACGTTACCCATTTAAACACTCAACGAAATACATAGCTACATCAAACGGTAATATAATATACAAGTGAAAAAAAAATCGTTTCGGAACCTACCAATTGATCGCAGCAGCTTTTTTATCCACACAATAGTTGCCACTTAAAGCCAAGTAACTCCATCGATGGGAACTTCTCCTTCAACAAATGCATAGCAAGGTTGCATCCTCTGTAACAAATCAGATAAGTTAGAGCTATATGTCTGTCGTCAAATGTCCTGACTTCTATTGGACAAAATTTCTCTTCACTCATCAGTACATGCACTCTGAAGCAGTCTGGTCAATCAAAAGGTTTTCTACGCTTCCACCAAAAAGGATTGGTGAAGTTCACTTGAATTGCACGAGTGCTAGCCTTGCAATCATATGCTTCGTTTGATTCTATGACACGATTACAAGTTCAGAAAAACGGGCGGGATACAGTGCCCTCAGAAATGCCGCGTGAAATCAAATGTGTCACCCTTGAAAAACAGCACTGTGCACACCACAACCGCCTAGTTACCCATATTTACGGTATTTACGCGCAGTTTACGATACTGTATCCTGTCTGTTTCCCTCAACGTAATGGCTATATTTCCTTTCATTGATGAGTTACTTCGATTGTTTATGAGAACACACGCAGATACTCGTCGTCAATGAAAGAAGGCCGCATAGGCTGAACACCGCCAAACTTTCTTCCAAATAGGAAGAAAGTCTGGCGCTAGAGATGGGCTTAGTTCAAAGATGTAGAACTCAAGTACACCATAACTGCATCGAATACTCACTTCGATACCATATTCATACCCATAGCATCTCCCGTTGAGGCAACGAATCGGACGAACGCGAGATTTCCATCTATGGCTACCTCTACAGCACGCAGTTGGGCAAATCTTAACAGAAATGTATGAGCACCATCACGTTTCTGAAGACAGGCGGTGCATTGAGTGCGTAGGACAATTTTCACAGTTCGCAACACCGGCCATGCAGTCACGGGAATAGGGGGGGGGGAAGTCACGCAACTTGAGACACTTTCCGGAGTTGGAGGATGGACGGGCAAGGGGAGAACTCGCTAGTATGCTTTCTTTTTCTTTTCTCTTTCCACGTTCTTCACTGCCAAGCCACATGAAGAGAAGACTGCTCCAAACAAGTCGTCTTCTAGCACTGCCCACTCGGCTATTCCGGACGGCGTCCTCAGGCGATACTGATTAAGGGTGAAGCGGTTCGTCACTATTTGCTTTATAATTGCATGAACAGCGAGCTGCGAACGCTGTACAGATAAGATTACACGCTCCTGATACGTGTCCTTGTTCTTAACAGACAAGGCAAGCAAGCGTAATAAGACTGGCAGCGAAACCCTCGCCCACGCAGGATATTTCTTTGTCCCCGCGCTCAAGCAATTCGTGGGCGTTCAAAAGGTCAGTCTAAAGGATTGCCCCGTCTTCGCGGCTTCACAGCAAGTAACGAAGGCGCTAAACACTCATAAATGGCAGTTCTAGCGCCTCCCTAGTTGCAAGGCCCCCCCCCCCTCCCATACTCAAAATTTCTTCCTCACCACGAATTCAGCTTTTACGCAGCAGTTTCCATTTGTTTCTTTTAGCTTTAGATGGTCTTCCCACTGGATAACCGAAGGAATGATCAGTGAGCCAGGCGGCAGGATTTCGCTTTGCCAGCACGAAACGAGCAAGTTCGGAGAACTCATGTAGTGAGGCTGCCAAGGGGCCCTTAGGGTGTCCTCCACCTAAGCCGGGGCCCTAGGATGTTCGGGTATTGGCCGGCTGGGGCTGGGGAGGCCACACGGTGTTAGATTGTTGGGGGCGTTAGGGGAGTGAGGGTCGGAGATTATGTCTGGGAGCGTGCTATTGATTTGGTGGCGTTGTGATGTGGCGTGTGGGTTTCTGTTGTGTTAGTGTCCCCTAGTCCTCCAAATTTTTTTTGCCTTTCTTCTTCCTGTAGAGTCGCCTGACGACTATGGTTTTGTGACTGAACACCACTATCACAACATGCATAGCGGATTTGTTTTCAAATGTTCAAATGCTGCTAGAAACCCACCGACTAGTAGACTCAAACTCATTCTTGACAAGAAGGAAGTTCTCAGGGACTCCCAGCCACTTTTTCAGTTTTCTGAAAAGAAAAGAATATACAAAGAAGATTCCTCTAGCGAAAATGAGCCACTTACACAGCCTCTGAAGCGGTGGGAAATTTGACTGCAGGAGCACGTGTCATCCCTTCGTCGAAAATGGTCGTCGACACACCACCACTTCTCTAAAAAAAGTTGTCCTGTATAATAATGAATTACCTCCAAACAAGCTTAACCATTCCAAAGTTTGCTGTCATTCTTCTCGCAGACTGGACAAGTAAATAAAGATATAAACTCGTGAAGCCGATCCAAAGCTTTGATCTTCTTCTTTAAATGCCGCGATTCCTCCTTTTGCAGCAAATGTACCCACGTGCCCAACTCACCCATCCCGAAACATCCATTGTTACACAACAACTGGGGAAACGGCAAATGGATTTAGAGGTAGGCTCTGGTTCATCTGAAGCGCAGACGCCTTGTTTGGATATGGTAGTTCTGTGCACAACCATTTAGGATGTACTATCTTCGCAGCTCAAAAATGCAAGAGAGTAGCACATGCACGCGCGACGCCATAGCTCCGCTCCTTGGCCAAGGCAACGTCAACTCCCGTTTTTGGCTCCTGCCTTCAAGCACTGCTCAGCGTGGGGTTCAATATGGGACATTTCGGGAGTCTCTTTTATTTTGTTTTATTCGTCATGTTGTCATTGATAGCTGAGCTGTACTTACCAAGATTGAACGTGGGGCTAACCTTTAAGAATAAAGGTTTACCTTCAAGGAAGTCTCACCTTTACTGCACTACAACCTCTGTTCGTACTAGCCACCAATGCTCCTTCTGTAGTAGCCATGGGAACGTAAACTTCAGCGCCATTTATAGGAATGGGGCCAGCAACGCCCAAAGGTATAGGGACATAACCAATCACATTTTCACAGCAGGAGTTGGTCACCTGAAGAGTAAAGCATTGATACATCAAGGAAAAAAAGACCACGCTATTGAAGACTTACATATTTGTAGTCATAAGTTTCTAAACGGTAACTCCTTCAAGAATTTCAGGGGCCACGAAAGAACGCCTCACGAAGATGGCAGTTTCAGCATCGAGACGCGATTCCAACTCGCGGCATTTGACAATGCCGCGTTTAACCAGTCGAAGAGCATCAGGTGCAGAAAGGGTCCGGCCTGGAACGAACAGATCAAGGAGCTGTTTTGTTATGATAACTGCTGTTTAACGCCGCAGTACGCGTTCCGAATGTTATCACAAGAATGCTGAGTTGTGGGCAAAAGTCGTGCCCCAGGCGGGAGTCGAACCCGCACCTCACGCTTTCCGGGCGAGTGCGCTATCCGTTACGCCACCAGGGCCGCTTTTACCCTCTCAGCTTAACGGCTTATGCCGTAACCTTACAGCACTCACACGTTTAACTTGGTGACTTGACTTGATCAAGGACGCTCTTTTTGAGCGAATGATAACAATTAAATAGGGGGTGGGGGCGGTACATCTGTCAACTGGGTACTTCTTCGCTGAAAGGGTCCAGAGCCATTTTCTCGTAGCATCTGCTGGCTGAGTATTAAAAGGGAGGAGAATAAGGAAGAAGGAAAAGAGAAAGAAAAGCGGAAGAAGAAAGAAGAAGGAAGAGGTAGGGTTCGCGGTTGACAAACGTCTTGAGACAGGATTAAGTCAGTAACCTTAAATATCCATTCCTGCCCACTCGAACTTTTCGGTCGAGCTCTATTGAAAATTTATCCTCCGGTGTGGACCTGATCAGCTAATTATCCCCTCATTTCCCCCTCCCCCTTTTCACCCCTTCGTAGCCTGAGACCTCACCTGAAGATGAAATATCAATGCGGACAATGCCAATGAACAGTACATCGCCGCGCGCCTACAGGGAGCCCGCGCCACAAACCTGTTTTTGCACCACCGCATGTTGCTAGGCGCTTCACAACAAAATAGTGACTACCTCTAGGGCCCAAGTTTTCACCGAATTCTATTTCTCAGGAACCAATTCGATAAACAAGTACAAGGAATGGCGTTTGTAAAGGCGGCAGTAGTGCAGAGGATTTAAAACTTGTGTCGACTGAAAAAGAAATTAACCTTACGTCTCCAGTCCCGAGAAATTTCGTCGAGCGATTTTTGTGGCAATTCGTTTTCTTGCTGCGGATTCTCTTCAGCAAGTGTTTGTGTGCAAGCGTCATTAGTTAGTGGATGTTCGCTGTCTGAATGAAAACTCAACACTGATCGTATCGTGTGCTCTTCCTGGCTGTAATTTCGACCGCGGAATAGAAAGTTAATCATAACTCATAGCGACCAATATTCAATAAATGTTATTATTTGGATCATATTAATGGCGCCTTGTTAGAATGGAAAGCGTCAAAAATAATTCACAGTAGCCAATTGTAATGCCAGAGGTAGACTTGGGAAAATTTTGCATCCAACTCCCAGGATGAACATGGAGCTTCAAGTTTTCTTATGCAGAGCTGGATCAAAGTCCATTTCCCCTGGAATCGAGGTACCTCTTGTTTCTCGGGCTCTTTCTATATAAGCAAGTAATGAAGAGAGCGTTGATAAATGTATTATGGAGATTGTAGTACGTCTAACACCTTTGCCTCAAGCAGCATAAAAATCTTAAAAACTAGAGCCAGAACACAACTCCCAGACAACAATTAAAAGGCATGGGTTGCTCCACCATGAAAGAACAACAAAACTATGTTCCTGAGAATATAGTACGCACCCACATAAAACTCCGCAGTCAAACATGCGGAAAAAAAGGAGGAAGGATCGAAAAGTACGATTTGCACAAGCAGAGCCAGAGCTTGTTCTTTCTTATTATCGGAATACTCAGGAAGCATCAGCCGGTTCTCTACTCAGAGCTGTAAAAGGTAATTAACCGACCAAATGGGATTTTCATTACTTTTAGCTCCGAGGAGAGCACGGGGTGATAAAGGTGGAACTCTGAGTAAAGGTGCTAGTCTAAAACACGCACGCAGGACAATAAGCTTATGTTGATCGTACATGGCAGAGCGATCTTTTCTCAAGGCACTTCTTCGACGTTGAATGTGAAGAGGTTGCGATGTGCATGTTTCATAAAATACGAAAATTTTTTATTTGTATGAGGCCGCATTCATACAAGAAATGGCGAATCTGCGGACTGGGAGAAATACAGAATTTGCAGGTAGCTGAAATCGGCGATAACGAGTAGATAAGAACTGACAGCCTGCAGATTTTGCATTTCTTCCAATTCAGCAGATTCGGCAGTTCTTCAAATCATCGCGTATGAACGCGAGTTTCTCCATTGATGGGTCGAGAAACGCCATTAACAATATTATATTGGCTTAACGCAAAAATAAGCTATAAGATACAAACCGGACAGATCACAGTCTTCGTCGCCAATCGAAAAACGGGGTATCCTGCCTCCGAGATCTTGACGAATGAAGCCTGTCGGAAATCCACCTAAATGAGAACGTTCGAGGAGATATACTCGAAATCCCTGAGATCGGGTAGGCGTGGCTGCATTCTTCAACTTAACCTGAAGGTGTCTATGCTTCTGGTGGAATTTTCATCTTGACACAACTGTTGTCGTGTCTCTGTCCAACACAGGACAAGAAGTTGTCCCAGACTGGAATATTCCACGAGTAACCAGTTCCGTGCCATGTTCAAATGCCACGCCTACTCTGGCTCAGGGATAAGGAGTGTAAGAGCCGTTCTAAGATCGTTTATGGCGGATGCATGATTTTGCAGCATTTCAAACAGGACATATCATTAGGGAAAATTTTTGCATTTCTTACCCTTTTGCCTCCCCTCTCCAAAAAAATTCC